TCTTCTGTCTACTGAAACAGGAGTCTTTTTGAGGGACTAATGTTCCTCTTAGATAAAGGAGGAGATCAAATTTGAAACAACAAAATGCCTATAAATTATGGTAATTGTTAATTCTTAAAACCTGGTTTGTGAAAAGTAACAATGTGACAATTCATTCCCCAAATACTTAGCAGTATAAAATCTTTCTTGTTTGGACAATGGTTAGCTTAACTGCAAGTGGCTTTTGAAAATGATAGTTTTCTTCGCAGAAAGATTTTGGAAATTTGTAATTTTTTTCAACCTAGAATGAAAAACTACTATAGGAAAATACATATAAATCTGTGTCTCTAATAATTGTGATATTTGGTTAGTAGTAGTAGTTATAGTCCTGAGTAGTGTCATCTCAGGACTTTAGATGTGTAAAGTGATAAAAGATTTATAAATTATTTTTTAATGAGTGCTTTGCACTTTAAAAAAAGCAGGAGACTAAACAGAATTAAATCCTTATTGTTTGAGGAGGGCTAGGTATTGGGTTATTTAACATGCGTCATAGAAGTTTTATTTTCTCAAGTAAGGTTTTTGCTGCTGAAGTAGGTATATAGTACACATTTGGGGTGCATCCTTCATTTGATTGTGTCTTTTTCTAGAAGTCCACAGTCTTTTGGTGTGGGTATTTTTTTGTTTGTTTTGTTTTGTTTATATCATGTAAGGGTTCACTTAAATGCAACTTATTGATCTTTGCCCTCTGGCTGCTGCTTTGATCCTGTCAGTCTCTGAATTGTTTTATATACTCCTGGTAGGCTGGCTAAGAAGGTGAAGGGATGAACATATAAACAAGATGGGGGGAGTGCAGGCTCAAACTCTGGCATTCTATATGCTGCAAACCCCAGAATTTTTTCTCTTTTCATTGAGCATTTTATTATAGATGTTTTAACTGCCCAGTCACTGGATTTAGGGATCTGTGGTAGAGCCTTGCTAACTCGTTAGACGAGGCTCTGGTTAAGAAGGCAGTGCCACATGGAAAGACAGAGCAAATTTATGTCATGATTTACTTTTTCTGTGCCCTTTTCTCAATGTCATTGTGGGCAAATAGGCATTTTTATATGAAGTGACACCTAGAGACTTAGGAGAATTGTTTGACTTTCTGTATAAGGCAGGGCGGGTCTTACTGCCTTTCTGAAGTATATAATGGTGACATTGTTCCCATTGTAACCATTGCTTTTCCGTGTCTGTTTTGGAGTGTAAGCTCTTTGGAGGAGGGACTAATACATATATGCGCACAAACATATTTGCAGCACTTGGCATGTTGTGATACTGATTTAATAAGGACATTCTTGAAATAGGAGCAATCATAGTTGTTAAAAAAAAACAAAACAAAAATCACAAAACCCAAACAAATCCCAACACCTTTTCTTCTTAAAATATAATTTATTAACATGTTGCAGTTGCGAGCTATCTCGGTATTCAAACTCAAGACAGTGTCTCCGTTTTTTTTTATGAGTATTCCTTTTATATATATATATATATATCACAAAACAGATCATGATTGTGTTTGAACAGGGAAGAACAAAACATACTTCTTAAATAGCTGCAGGTTCTCTTACCTTCAGTAGCCTTATGGATGAGTAAAGCAATGAAAGGATATAATATTTTACATAAAATCTGTAATTAGATAAGTAAAAGCATTTAAGGTGTCATTTTTTAAACTGCTGAAAGTCAAAATACCATTTAGTCTAATTTTTTACAGCTGTACATCCCTGTTAAAACTTATTTACAGTCTATTATGCTCTGTGTGTGTGTGTATGCATGCGTATGCACATCTTACTAGCGTGGTCTGGTTAATGTAAACTAGATATTTCTCTTCTAAGCATAGATGTTTAAAATAGGTAACTAATCAAATTTGTCAACAGTTTGACTGATAGACCAATGCAGCAGTGGTAAACAGCAGAAAATAGAAAATGCTCAGTAGCATTCTTTACAAAGATTATTTAAAATGTGAGCGATACAGAAAATATTTCTTAACAGTTTGCTCAAACAGTGACATCTTACACATGAAAAGGTGAGAATTACATTGGTGACAATTGCTGTGGTAGGAATGGTGTAGCATGTCATTTGAAAGTTGTGTTGGTTTGTGATTTATGGATGTTCTGGAAGATTTTGCAGAATATGATATCGGTGCTATGTACTTGCTTAAGAGAGGTAAAAGAGTAAATAAAGACAAATATGTCATGATTTATATGTTTAAAGCATGTAAGTCAATAGCTTGATTTTCTTCAGCTTTTATTGACAATAGTTAAGAAAACTTGGTTGGGGGATTATGTCTCTTTGACTTCAGTTCTGTCTTCTTCTGAACTAATTATGCATCTTCTTTACTGTTCCTCTTATTAGGCATTTTGCATCTTTTCTTCATGATAGTACATCCACAAATGTTCTTAAAAGGTTCTGTCTTAGAGGAACTTTTGCAAAACTAGTAATTATATTACATAAATGTGTATCATTCAAACTCCAGAAACTGCTCTCACAGTTTATCAAAACTTGTACATAATTCATGTTAAACACTTAAATTACATTAATACTGAGGGATTTAATGGTATAATTCCAGTGTACACTTTTGAAATAACGTGTTTTGTAACCAACACTTAGACCTCTCTCCATTTTATAATATTCTCTTTAATTATGTTAAAAGGCTGGTATATTCCAACACCCTAGTTTCGGCAATAGTCCATAAACTAAGGTAAATATTTTCCACGTTTGAAGAATAGGAAGGTCAATGCAGAGTGAAATTCTCCTAGTTGAATTTTCCATTTAAAAACAAAAGGCTGCTTTATGATAAGCAGAGACATCAATACTTTTAAATAAAAAGTTAATCCTGAAACAAAATTCCTTTGTGCTAAGGATGAATGGTATTTTTCAGCCTGGACTTTTCTAATAAGTTCGGTTCTAATAAGCCATACTTTTACCCTGGGAAAAACTCAACCCAAACAAAAAAATCCCTCCAACAAGTCCAAATAAACAACCAACCAACCATACCTACTCTACTCTCACCAGTTTCAAGTGAATGAAAGTAAATGAGTCCATAGGTTAGAAGTTTCCCTGCTGAATTAAGAAATTGGTGTCTCCTGTAGAGGACTGGTATTTTGGAGAGTTAAAGAGGGAAAATATAGAATGTAATAATACAGGAAAGTCTGCTGTTGTGCTTAGGTAATAAAAATTCTGGTATGTGTGCTTAAAAAATGAGATGAAAAGCACAAGAAAACAAATATACATTGAAACATTTGTCCTTGACTGTCTTGAAACTGTACTTTTAATAGATACAATTTTTCTGTTATACTGAGTAACGAATGTAATGATAAGTATTTTTGGTATATAATTTAATGTTGCTGTCAAAAAATGAATCATTATTATGTTTAGAATTAATAAATACACTCCTGGGAACATTGCACATACTAATTTAAGTTTTTACTTGCATATATTCTTCCCAGATGTAATCTTTTCTGTTTTGTACTCTGACTTTTTTGTCATTGATTGGTTTTCCCCTTTTTTTTTTTTTTGCCACTGCTACCTCTATTTCTGCAGGAACAAGTAGGTTATTGGTAAGTATTTCAACTAATTCAGACTTTACAAAGTTTTGCCTTAGTGAGGACTTATTTTTTTGGCCCTCACTTACTTTGGTAAAAACTTTGTAGACAACAGACCAATTGTCTGTAAATGCTGTGCTTTCTCAGGTCTCCATTATCGTCTTGTTTGTGTAGTAGAGTAATAGTTCTCAGATTCTCCGAGAGACTTTGTCTTCTGCATGCTTTCAAGCAGCATCATTATCTGTGCTGTCTTCTAAGATGCTGCCTTCTCCTGGGGCTTGCTCCTTTGTTCCTGTTTCAAGTGCAGTGTTTACTTTGTCTCTTCCATTTCTTTTTTTCATAAGACCTCGTATGCGTTTTGGCCAGTTTGCTCAGAAGACTTCTCTGCGTCCAACAAGATGCTCTGTTTCACGTGTTCAGTTTAGTCATCCTTGTTAACCATTATTCAGCCATTTTCACATCATACCTCTTCCCTTTTAGCTATCATTAAATATATTTTCAGCATGGTATAGCCACCCTCTCCTCTCTTATCATGCTTCATGTAATTTTGATCAGATTCATTGCGATGTACAGCACAAGTTTTCAAGATATTTATGTCTTAGCATTTTGAAAAAGTAGGACTTATTTCTTCTGATCTTGGAGCAGCTCTTCCTATATTCTCTTTTAAATTATGTGATTTCTAATGGAAACTTTTTCTTTAACCCTAGTATGTTTTTGAAAGTAGTGACTTTATTGACAGTGCAAAGTAGGGCAGGGGAGTGTAGACAAGCGGGTTCCCTGCACTTTAAAATTTGTAGTTGTCTTGCCAAGTTACTCAGTTATTCAAGAAGTGCCTTCTTCTGGCAATAGAACACAGCTGTCCTTTGTGTCTTCCTCAACTTGCATTGTGAAATGATGAGTGGAAAGACCTTTTTCAGGTGTTTGAGGAAAATGTTGCTCTGGGCAATAAGACAAAATTGAGGGAGTAGCAAAATTAAGGAAGAAAGGAAAAAACAAGTGTATAGGTTCAGGAGAGATGGGGAATGAGAGAGAATTCTTCCTCCTTGAACTGTGATGGCGACTTATGATGAAAAAAAGCAATGGGAGTATGGGATATCTCTGAAGTAAGAGTTTCCAGGCATTTCGTTTGCATAAAGTTTTCAGACCTCCAAGCTGGCCTGCAGTGAGTTGTCATCATCTGGTAATGCAAGAACTGAGCTTGTTTGACAGGTTGATCTTGTCTGCCGTGTGTAAATAAAATACTTTCGTGCCGCAAACTGTTGACTATGCTTTCTGGCTACTTGTTTTCTTAATAAGATAGTCAATTTGGCTCCAAAATGTATCGCCCCTGGCTGAGCTGCATATTCAGACAACAGCTCAGGTCCATAAGATTTCACTGCAGTGGCAAGAGCCCCCACTTGTGTACAGAAGCCTCTGAATTGGTGACAGGATTAGTTTCTTCCCATACTACTGATATTACTCTGCCGCGTGACTGGAAGGGGACTTTGCTCTTATCTCTGCTTGCAGAAGATCTGACAACGAACAGACATGAGAAAGAGGAAAAACATCTTTCCTTTGTTGCCCCTGAGTCATTTTGGAAGAGGCTCATCGCACCCACATAAAAGAGAGAGAGGAAGTGTGTTCCCTTGGGTTCTCTCCCCTGCTCCCCTCCCTTGGGAAAGATGCAATGGAAATGAATGGTATTCTTCTGGGGAAAGTCTTGTTGTTAAGTGGAGTTTTTGGTAGCTAGTTGAAAATATACTTCTCAAGAATAGCAAGCAAAAAGCTAAAATCATCTGGTTTTAGGGTGTGGGTGGAGCCTTTTTGCATGAAAACCGATGCTTGCTCTTGCCTTTAAATCTGCCAAATGCAACACCCAACATAGGCTTATGTTCACACTTGTCTGTCTTCAACTGCTTGTGGTCCATTGAGGAATTTCTGGTGTGGATCTGTGATGGGAGGGGTGTGACTGTCTGAAATGCAGGTAATAAAGTAGAGTGAATTAATAACTTACAAGTCTCTTTAAAAACTGTTCTTGTTTATGTGCTTGTCAGTTTGAAATTGCAGAGACTCTAGAACTGTATGAAGGGATCTTAACCAACCTCTCATTTAGCTTGACTACAGATCCCTGTGGATCATGGGATGGGGGGGTGGGGAGTGACACTCCCAAACACAGGTGGTGCTAAGAAGGTTTTTCCTCCTCCCATTGGGTGCTTGCATTGGTCTGAAATGTCACTCTTAAAAAGCTGTTCCTCTAATAACAGCTCTTCTTATTTCTGTATTAAGAGTTGAAATCAGTCTTTCCACAGCTCTTTCCTACCTGTAATTTCATCTCCTGTTTTGCAAGATATTTTAGAATGGGCCTTTTTTTCTCTCTTTTAATGGATATATTTATTCAGTTTCTAAAAATGTGTAGCTCTCAATTATAATCATCATCACGTTACTTTTACATTGATATTAGACACTCAAAATTGTGCAGTTGAAAAAGAGCTTTATTTATGAATAAAAAATGTGTCTGGTTCAATTTCTCTTCTTCATTCTATACTGCGTTATTTTTCAGTGATTGCTACTGAAGATCTCAATTTCCCAAAAATGAAGATGAAGTGAGCTGAAGAAGTTATATAATATGATTCTGTCAATCATAACTTTTTGCTTAGGAAATGAATTATTATCCAAACATATCTTGTCTAATTATTCTTTGGGGTCCTTAATTAAAATAGTTCAGGTTTGTTTTTATTTCCCACTTTATATATCCCCCCTTTCCCATTGAATGCTGTGGGAGTTTTAAGTTGGAACATACAAGAGAAAATACTTTTTTTCCCTCAAGGAATTCACAAGTTTGTTTACTTTAGTTTTACGGTACAAATGTGGGGAAGAAAACCCCAGCAGATCGTGAACCCCAAATCAGTAAGAGCTGAGAAGAAGATATTATTTGTGCTTATCCTGATTCAGTTTTCTATAAAAGACAGAGCTTGGAACATTTGTATTTTGTTCCTCATTTCTATTTGATTTCCTATTCTTTCCCAAATTGAGGGGAGTATTTCTTTATTTCTTTTCATCTCCAGAAGTCTTTCCAGATGGTGCGTGTTCTCGTGGCTTAGACAATTGACAACATAAGGAAGGATGGAAGCTAGAGAACTTGATGTATCTTTTCACCAAGACATTTTCTTCCTTAGCAAAAAAACTTCTGTACCTAAAATGGCAAATTTTTTTTGAGTGGCCACTTGTATTGGCAGCTACAGCAGCTAGAAATTCTTCTGTAGAAGGTTCCCTGGGAGTTGGTAATGCTCTTTTTTATTTTTCCTTCTAACTTACACATTTTTTTAAATGTTAGTTCTTTGTTCTTGAATTTACTGTGAAATAATTTTCATATTCTCTTTGATGCTTAGGGTAAACTTGCTGGGTAAGATGTGAGCTGTGTTAAAGCAATATGCTTTCATATACAAGGCTTCATGGTTTTGAGCTTACAGAATTACTCATTCTATCTTTCCACTTCAGCTCTCTGATGAAAAGACAGAATTCTGTGCCTTATAACTGATAGATCATGTAGTCTTTACTGAACCTTCTTTTTTTTTCCCTTCTTTAATTTTTACAAATTAGTTTGCAGAAGGGAGTAACAGAATTTTGGCTTGAACAGGACTGTTACTTTACCAAGAATCTGAAGTACTTCCATTTATTTTTCTGCTGTTCTACGACCTCACTTCGTAGTCTTCTGTACAATTGAATAGAAAATGAAGAAGCAGAAGAAGTAGAGGCATTATACTTTGCCTTTTAAAAAATGTTTATGCTATTTTGCTTTATATTCTTATTAGGCAACTTAGGGAACGTGGTCTAGGTGAAAAAGTAGGTGGATGCTGAAATAGTTGGGAAAAAAGTCCTGCAGCTGCTCTAGGAGAGCAATTCAAATGAAGTGTCAGTGTGGTCTGCTTTGGGTCTGTTTTCAATCAACTTTTTTTCGTGGAGGCTGGGCACTTTAAAATACGAAATAAAATGCTAAAATTGTAAGATCTGAAAGCGCTATGGAGGGCAAAATTGGAATTCCTAATTGTTTTTAACATGTTAGAAGAGTGTTTATAGTTGATTAAAAAAGACAAATGAGAATTACTAAAGGTAAGCAGAAATATAACACTAAACCCAGGACTTGGCTAGTACCAGTTTTGCTGAAGATTTAGGGATTGTTGTGGGACATGAGAGGAATGAGCCAATCACCTGTTGATTTGTTTAAAATGTACCTACCCGCATACACACACATAAAGGAGATATCTCTATGTATGTATGGATCTATATATAGCTATCTAACACCAGGTGTAATGGAATGATGTGATAGGTAACTATTAATTTCTGCTTAGGACTTGTGAAGTCTTAGCCTGAGAGCTCTGCCCAGTTCTTAGCAACGCAATATGGTAAGGTTGGAGAGAGGCCAGAGGACAACAAGAGGAATAAAAGGTTTAGACATCAGGGCCTGTGAGGAAAGATTTAGAGTAACTAGGGTTTTTTTCAGACTACAGGAAAAAGATGAAGGGCACACACTTTCGGGTGTGAACATGTGTTTTATACTGAGCACAGTTGCTACCTGTTTTCCATGTCTATTGAACACATAAGAAGTAGTGAACTTGTTTTTAATGTGTTGTGTTGTTTCCTTTTAGCATCACTATGCAGGCTTTATTTATGTGACAGTAAATTTGCATACCACCCTCATACCATCATATTTACTAGTTGCTGTGCTACCAGATTGTCTATACCTCTTTTTCTAAGTACCGAAGAAGTGTGCATATATAAGTAACATTTGTCAGGCATCTTATTGTGATATACATCTTAGAAAAAGTGTGTGGATGCAAGGATTTATCTTTTCTTATAACTTCTTTAAATGCACACCAAGGTAGATTTATCCATCTTATTTGAAAACAAAAAGATACAAAGACTTAAAATACTAATATATTGCATAATTATTTTAAAGGAGCAGCTGCTCTCATTATACTTTTGGGTTGCCTTTGGCAGTGTTCCAGTTGATGTTTTCTGCTGAAAGGTTACTCTGATCAGGCTGATTCAGTCTTTTGTGTTGTTGCAGGTTTTATTTGTGCTTACTTCTTGCTACAACTCTTTAATATTGACAGAAATAATAATTCATTCTTCTGTGCAAGTCTAATACTGCTTTAACATGTTTCCTTCATGTGCAATTCTGTGACACTCTGCACTGTGTTGTCTGGAAGCTCTTAGCTCTTCTTTTTTTTTTCACCACAAACTAGATATTCCAGAATAAGTGCCAGTATGATTTTGCAAAAATTTATAGGTCCAGGAGTTTGTTATTTGGATGCTTTATGTTTGCTCGTCTGTGCACTGAACAGGAAGTTAAGCGGCCTGATGTTTGCAAAGCATGGCAAACACAGTAAGGTATCACTAACAGGTTGAAACTGGTATGGATAGAGTGAGTGGCCACCCATTGACCTGTCCACGTGGATAGTTTCCAAGCCTGCCAGAGAAGGAAATCATAGGTTTGGTAGATCAATGTGAGAGAAAATGGGATTTCTGGGCTAAGTAGAGGTTCACTTGGAAAAGATGGTGATGTCTCAAGAAAGTGATGCATTCAAGAGAGAATGAGAGACAGAATTCACCTCTGATATAAGTCCTGATACTTAGGCAGGTTTAATTATTTCAAACTTTCTGTGCCACCTTGGGATTTTCTAGTAACTGTACTGCAGCTTTCTGTTCTGTCTCCATTTCTTGTAACTGTACTTTTTTCCAGGATTTTGGTTTTGTTTTAAGTAATGTGTTACTTTCAATATTGTAGTCAGGGTTGTGAAACTAGATGCTCGGAGCCTGTAAGAATTTGGTTCCCTGCCTGTTAAGGATGCAGTTGGAAAAGTCAGTTAGATGTGTGTGTTTGCTCAGTTTTGGTGCTCAGTTCTTTCCTGCTGTACTTCTGTGTGTAGTGAAGGGGGTGAGAGGCAGTTCTTCGACTGACTTAGGTTGTATCACTGGCAGCATGTTCTCTACTATGGCAGAATTAAGGACAGCTTTGCAGTGATATGCTGACAGTGACAACACTAATACAAAGGTGACAGTTTGTCATCTTGGGTTTTATAAGGAATGCTGTGAAACCAACACGTTCATAAGAGATGGATATTTACCTAGAACTGTGCATTATCTCTTGTGCTCTCCTTGTAAATAGGGTGAGCAAGTAAAGTGTCACAGTTTTTAGAAGACACTTCATGTGATAGTACCTCATCTGATAACTACTTCCTCTTTGTTTTCCAAATGTCTGTTCATGCATTGTTTATCCACAAAACTAGTAAAACAAGTCATGTAGAGAGCAAGTTATTTCTGACCTGTTGTTGATTGTTGAAGTCATGTGAAACTTTCTTTAAGTTGCTGGAATTGTTCCCTAAGACTGATGGTAACAAACATAGGCTATAAATGTTGTTAGCCTGCTGGGCAGGAGTACAATAGAATCTTTGTTCTTACAAAGTACTTAATTGTAAACTGGGTCATGAAACTATTGCCTTCTGATTTGAGAAAAGGTGGGAAAATACCAGCTTTTTTTTTTAAGAACCTTTAACTGGCTTGTGGACAATGTTGATTTTTCACTTACTTATATTTTTCAAATACAATTTAAAATAAAGTAAATATTGTCTCTGCAGTCAAAATAATCTGTTCTTTGGGGTTACTGGGTGAGTTGGAAATATTTATTTCCTTCACACAAAACATACACTATACATCTTTTAGGAAAGATGGCTAAATCCAGGAGCTGGTTATTGCAGCAGAACAATGTGAAAGAATGAGAAATCGGATTTCACTTGTATTTGAAAAATGTTTCAGCAAGTGTTGTGAGCCCAAGGGTCTTTTTCTGCTGTTATGCTAGTCTTTGCCATGCAGCTGATTCTGGACACTGGAAAAACATGTTTTCCACAAATATACCTTTACCCCTGTCAGCTAAGTTGCCCCTTAAGGCTTAGTTAAGTGTGATGTCCTCTATTCTTTGTGTTCTTCAGTTCCACATGCTGAGTAGAGCTACAGCAGTCAGGTATCCCAAATGTGCTGTCTCAGGAGGATATTTGTAGTTGTTTAACCATTACCTTCAGATCCCCCTTGACACAGGACAAGCCACAAGATAATGTATTGATAAAATACTTACTATATTGCTAGAATGCAGGATGTATGGTCTTTATTAATAACACTGTTAACTTTAGCAATGGTTCTAAGGACCTGTTGGTGGTTGTCCTTGCCCCCTGTCACTCCCAATTACATGTGTTGATGACCCTGGGAATAAACTAGAAGAGTTCTGTCCATAAAGCAGAAGGAACCTGTTAATGACTGTCTCCATGCTTAACTAGCCATGAACATAAATGTTAACTTGCTCTAATGCAAATACTCCCTTCTGTCACAGCAGGACTCTGTCTGCAGCATAGAAAAAAGTTACCAGCTTTTTCACATCAAACTATGTTGTCAATTATAAATGAGAATAATGTCTGGGACTTAGGTCTAGTCAAAGCCTGGTAATCAGCTGCGTTAGGCTGATAAAGATGGAGAGAAAATTTACCCTTGGTCAGTTTTTGAGGAAACCCATAACAAAACAGTAATGGGAGGTTTGAGTGTTCAGAGGACTGAGATACTAATTTCGATTTTAGTCATGTTGAGATGGATCCTGGGGGAAGGAGGCTACACAGTAGCTGAAATGTCACTGATAAAACTTTCTACAAGTAAATTAATCCTTTCAACTTGTTTGTTTGTTTGTTTGTTTTTCCAAAAGGTGTGTTTGGCTGTTGTATGCTTACTAACCTGTTTGTAACTATTGTTTGTAAAGATGTGGGTTGGGGGAGGAGGATTAAAAATAAGGAGAGAAGAGCAGTATTTAAACTGAAGTGTAAGATTGACTCAAAGAAGAAATAGATATGAATGGCTTATGACTAAAATGGGAAGAATCAGAACTGTACTTTACCTCAGGAAGTGGTTTCCAGTACATGTTTAGCTGCTGCCCTGAGTTCCTTATGGTTATGACCAGCTATCCTCTTTGACTTGCTTCCTATTAGCTGCACTAAAGAAATAAATCATTGTCTTGATAAAGGAAGTGCAGTACTTCTATCAAGTGCTAATGCTTCAGATTAATTGCTGCATAATAATTAACAGTAAAGATGAAAATTCTCAGGCATCAGTAACTTGAAAGTGCAGCATCAAGTTTCTTGTCATCCTTGACTGACTCGGTTCACTGTGGACTCTCAAGGTTAAAAGTACAAAAGTAAGGGGCAACAAACTAAAACATGTGGGAACAGGCTCAGATGGGCATGTTGTTGGAAGGTGCAGTGGCCTTTTATACAGGCTTGCATCGTTACTTTTCAACAGCGTGAGAGAAAAAGTTGTGCCTGTGCACTGAGTGTGGACATAAATTAGATATTTTTGCTGAATGTTGTCCTATTGGACAACCTACCTGTAGGTATGCTCCTTAACAACTCTTATGGATCAAGACCCCTGTTGGTGGCTTTTTGTCTCTCACTTGTGTGTTAATTATTCAGCAGATCAAAATCAATCAGGCTTTTCTCAGACTTTTCTATGGACTGTAAATCTTGTCCAGCTGATCTTGTCCTTTAACTGGAAGACTGCTGTCTTTGGCAATGACATAAATTAAGGTATTAAGCACTTTTGTCATAGACTATTATGCAGTTGCATCACAATCCAGATTGTCTTGGTTATTCTTTACCCCATGTTGCCTGAGGCTATGACCTCAAAAGCTCAACAAGTCATGCTTGGCTAGGATGAGAGAGTCAAACAAAATCAGTGTTACAGGAAATATTAGTGATTCAGTAAGTGAGGCAACACCCCTGAGTTAATGTTTTTCCAGTGCCCCAGCCTGGTAAAAGATGGTGCTGCTTGTATGATGAGATGTAAAACTGAGATCCTTGTTTAAAGTTTCAGTGCAATTCCTGGTAAAAACAGACATGTTAATTCGGAGGTCTTGCCCAAGTTCAAATTTTCATGGCTGTGTCCTCTACACATTTCTAATATCTGTTTTACTAGAGTCATATTATCCTCTTGCTCCTATCCTAAACTGTTCTTAGAGTTATTGGGAAAGTTTGCATTCCAGAGGTGCTGGCATGTTTGCAATTGGCAACAGAACAATTTTCGGAAAAAATGGTCCATTTTGAGATCTTTTGAAATCAAGGGAATTATATTCCTGTAAGAAATATCAGGTCAAAACTGAAAAGCTTCCAGGATTTTTTTTTCTTTCTTTTAATGTGTGCAGAATAACTTTTTGGCTTGAATACACGTATTAGCTACATGGTTGAGTGTACTCACACTTATATATTTTTATTTTCCGTAGGATTCAAGTGCCCTGTATGTTCAAAATTTGTATCTTCTGATGAAATGGATTTACATCTTGTGATGTGTTTGACAAAACCAAGGATAACCTACAATGGTAAGAAAGAAGTAAGCTGATAAATTATTTATTAATTTTAAACATTAGTGTGATAATAATTCTTTTCATAATAAGATACTCTGGTAACTAGTTAGTGAACTCAGAAATTAGGTATGTTTTTTTGCTTGTAGTTTTTTCAAATTAATTCTTAAGAACTCGGTGTTTTTATACTGCATGCCATTATAATTTGCACTGTGTTCTGAAAATATAAAATTATTCTCATTTGATTGTATGGATTCCATTTTTTGACCATTGGTCAGTGTGCATTTAGTGTCCACTTGAGATATGTGTAGCTTACATGTCCTCTCATGTGATGACCTCAAGTAGTGAGGTGGGTCAGTCAAATCTCCTGGGGACTTTATTAAGGACTGTTACTTGACACACTGTGCATTTGCACATTATTCAAGAAAATGACCCTTTCTTGAAGGAACTAAAGAATTTCCTCCTTCTTCAGCTGATTGCATATGTGATACTTCATAAGGACTGGTAGATATATATGTTTTTGTTATTTTGGTCAAACTGACCAAGATCAAATGAACCACCTGTAGTAGCTGTTTTTCCCCTACTACTAAGCTCTCCTTCTAGGCAACTTTTGATGCAAGGCAAACAGGACTTTTGCCACTGAGATCAAACCTTTTTATCACTGTAGCTTAGGCTGACACTCAGTTCTACGGTGAGCACACAAAAAGGCTTCAGGAAACTAGGACTTCAAAATTTTACTGAAATCCTAGTGCCTGCTTTGGCAGAGCTGCCCTACTACCAGAAAACCTTACAGTGTCTCTTCGATGAGATTATTGCTCACCAATCATCAGATGTGAGAACAGAATGCAATTAGAAAGGAATTGTAGAAGAGAGGGAGCTGGAGGTTTTTTTGGAGGTGCTGGTGCTCACAAGTTATATCAGGGAAAAATCTGATTCAATGTAAAATAGAAACGTCACATAATGAGGGTGGTCAAACACAGTAGCAGATGCTCGAAGAGGCTGTGCAACCTTCAGTCTTGGAGATGATCAGAAATTGACTGAGCAAGGCCCTACGCAATTTAGTCTAACTTGGTTGTGCTTTGAGTGAGGGACTGGACCAGAAGACCTCCAGAGGTCACTTCAAACATAAGTTATTTATTGCATAAATAACCTGTAGTATTATGGCTCTTTGACCCTCCAGGCACCTTGCTGTTATGGTACACTATACTGGACTTCTTTATTGGAACAAGTCTTGAAGAATGGTTGGGCCCACCTTATTCTTATCCAGACAGCAATAATTTCAAAAATAATTTGAAATCTTATGCTTAGAGTTGTGAAATCCATTTCACAGCACAGCACTTGTGAAAAGTAAATATTTCTTTTTCCTCCTGGTGTTACCACATGTATATTTGAGAAGGTTGACTTCATCTAACAGCGAGGGCTTTTTTTCTCTTTGTTTTTCCTTTTTAAATTTCAGACTGAGTGTTATTCAAGTTAAGTTGTGTACTGGGGGATGTTGGATATTGGAGAGAAGAGAAGCAGGCTAGTCACCCCAGTCAAGGTGGGATAACGCACTTGGAATCAGTTAGGGTGGAGTAGGAGGAGGCAGACTGGCAGAGAACAAGCACTGGCAGTATTCCAGCTGATGGGATGTGCACAAATTATGAGTTGACTGACTGAAATCCTTTACCCCTGCTGCTTTTTACATTTACATATGAGTGTGCTCAGCTGACTATCTTTTGTTGGAAGATACAGCAATTACGTAAGGTAGTCCTTCAGTATCATTTATGGTGTTTGTTTGTATCACAGCGGTGCCGTGTGTTCAGACTCTTTTTTTTCCTTCCTGCACTGTTTCTCTCAGCTGGCACACTACTTGGTGGAGCTCCTTTGGGCCATCTTGTTAACTTTGTGCAGTTATTACCAGCAACATGTCATTTCTCAGTTTAGGAGTGTGTCTGCTGTACAGCGAGCCTCAGGAACTCATTCTAGGAAATGGTTATATAAACTTGGAAGAAGGAAACTGCTAAATTAAGTAGGCAGATTTGAGAGAGACATTTACTTAGAGGTATGGTCTCATTCTCATAAACACTTAATAGAAGTGTGCATTGATCCTTGTGACTCCAGTTAGTTAGCTCCTGGACTCATGGACTAAATCTTAAATTATAGCCTATAGCTGGCATTCGAATTACTGCAACACAAAGAAAACGAGGATATGGCTTCAGAGTTGTGCAGTGCTCAGTTGCTACTTTGTGGTATGGTTGTGGTCCCTTTAATCAGGATAGTAAAAGCAAATTAACTAGCAGATTGGTAATGTAATGCTGCCATGATTTCAGGACCAGAACAGCATACATGCTTCTTCTGCTTGTCTATTTTGCTGTTTGCCATGGTGAGATTAGTGATGAATCTGCCTTTTTGTCATAGGCCATAAGGAAGGCATCTCAAGTTTTGTTTGAGAGAAGAAGAGATGCTGCTCAACTTTTGATACCCTCTTCCAAAATGGAAGGCATTTCTTTATACTTCACTTTCTCATTGTTTTCTTGACCTTGTGCCATACATACTCAACTAGAACCAACTAGGCACCATTTGATTGTGTTGGTCACTGATCATTCCCAGTCCTATTACCACTACAGGAAAAATATCTTTTTTTTTTCTTTCCTTTTTTCCACCTCACCTTCTTTTGTCTCTGAGTTTTGTGTTGCACATTGAAGGGAGCCTTAGACTTCGCAGATGTTGAGATATTTAGAAACTGAGCAGTTGGTTCAAACTGTATTTATGTCTAGTTCTGTTCTAGATGTGTTTCCATATGATGCTGTAAATGTATTAGTTGTTCTTTCTAAGAAACACCAGGGAGCAAATTCTATGCATTTTGTCATTCTGAGAAGACAAACCTTCTTTCTTTTTAAATATGAGTCTGAGGCATATAGTCTCCCTCAGAAAAATGTTATAAGACTGTTTAGTTGTGATTCGAAGTTTAAAAAAATTAATGAGTCCTCCCAGCCAATCTCTAATTGCTTTCTGAGCTACCTTTGTGCACTGCATTTGGCAATTGAAAGGGTCAGTGAACTGCAAACTTGGGCAGCAGTCTGATTTACATGTGTTTTCTGAAAGAGAGTGGTCACAAAATTGTCCCAGTTCTATGCTGGAAGTTGCACTGATTTTCATATAAATAAATCAGTACATTTTATTAGCTTTATTCTTTCAAAATCACATGACTTGACTGCAACAGAGATCTCATTGCTGACTCAATTGGGCATGTAAAAAGAGCTCTTTCTTTTTTCTGTGGAACTTTGTTCCACATCTCTTTAAACTACTTGTGGTGCTCACATATGAACCAATATCTAGGAATTTTTATACAAAAGCTGGTTAAATGAATGGTATTGTGCAAAAAACATTGTAGTGTTTGGTGATACTGTCTTAAAGAGTCTTCCTTTTCTTAACAGTTAGAAAATACTGTTACTTGCTGAGTTGCTGAGAAGCTGGAGTAGGTCCTATGCACTGGTTAACCACTTTTATGAAGAAAGTGGATTACTTGCTAGTTGACAGGGATTTTTAAAAAACACTGCTAACATATTCTGTAGCCATACCTATTTCTTTGAGCTTCTCCAAAGCGTTAAATGAGGCTCTTTGTACCACCTTGTTCAAATTTGCCATGGTGAGCCCACTTCAGGACTACTCTGCAGAAGGTGTTGCTTACAGTGTAGCCCCATGTTTTGGTTGGGCTGGGGCATTTATGTGAATTTACTCAGTGCTTTGGAAGCAACATGCCTTTGACTCCTTGCTGATGATTAGAGCTATCTGGTGAAGTTTGGGTTTTCGATATAATTGTTGTGCATTTTGTGTTGTTACAGTATTGATTCTTTTTTTCACTGGAAAGTGTTCTATAAAAAATTGAGAAGACACAGGAGAGACTTGTGACTTTAGAGGCATCATTTTTAGATGCTTTGCAACAAATGCACCCAATTCCTTCTGAAGAAACCTTGCAGTTTGTTCTGAAATAATTCTGATTTTAATTTTAAAATTCCTTTGTTTGTTTCTCAGAACACTTTGCAAGACAATATTATTTTTGTTATTATTAAAGGGCCCCTCTGAAAGCAGGGACTAGCAGCCTGGCACCTGGCCAGATGGGGAAGCCAGTGACCCTGGAGAGCTGGGGAGAGCCAGTCAGCTCACTAGACTGGTTGGCTGGCTTGGCGAGCCGGCCTGTCCTCTTTCAAAAGTTTTGATTGAATTAGCACATTCCTGTGGAATATTTTGGGTTTCATCAAGTCAGCACTTTCTGTTGGAATGGTGTTCTACTGGAAACTTTCTAAGCCGATCTCCTCAAAGCCGCTCGCTCAGGGGTGGTGCTGCTTTGACATCAGTGTTGCTTTCACTCAGACCGTTCTGCATTTAATTCACATATGGCAGTGGGTCTGACTGTTGGCCAACATATTTACTGAGGTTCATTTTGAGGGGAAAAGCTTTTACTAGTGTAATTCAAAGAGGAAGAATGTTGAGACACCCAGTGCATGAACTGCTGGAGATTTTTTCCTTACTCGAAGTAAGGACTTAGTAATTTTTCTTTTTAAATTACAACAAGTGATTTTTTTTAGACCTGTCATACTAAAAATGAGCAGGGGATCTGACATCACAGATAGCAGGGATTACAGATATAATTTTATATTAGGAGTTTATCCAGTTTCTTTGAAACCAAGAATTAGTATGTGGAAAACTGTCACAGAGAGAATATTGAAAATTAAGGTAGGTGTACCAGAAGGAAAAACATGACCAGAACTCTGAGTGCTCTTCCTATCTGGCCATGTACTTTTTTTTCTGGGGTGTTTGATCTAACACCATGCACAACTAGCCAAGAATTCCCATGCTGTCTAACCGAATTCAAACTGACCTGGCCATAGCACTGCAACTCATTCAGATTAGCAAGGATGCAAAGGGTTTTGTCATGATTTAAATACACTGTTTATTCTAAACCAGTTTGAGGTATTGGGTTGTGTCTTGTGAGGAAAGCATTTCTTGCTGGGACTGCCACATGCTGAGGCCTGCATGTGAGCAA